GGGGGGGCTCACGCCGTGCGCGCAAGCTCACGTACGCGTACACGTGCTGGCGGAGGGGGCGGGGCAGGGGACATAGACAGCCTGTGCCGGCACATCCCCCAAGAAGAGGCTCGAGGCTGTCCTCGCAGGTCCTCGATCATGAGTGGAGGCGGGTCACCGCAGGGGCGGGGCTCCTGCAGCACGCGGGTGTCCCCGCAAGAAGTAAATACGGGAAGCACCGCCCACCTGGGACACACGGCCACACCTCCCCGTGCACACCCGACTCCCCCGCACCCCTGTCCTTAGAGACGGAGTCCGCCCGCAGCGCTGACGACTCGGTCACCTCCCGGCATGTGACCGTGTCTGCTCTCAGTCACACAGCGGCTCTCGGTGTCGCCAGTGACCGCTGCCCGAGTGCGCAAGCCCCGCGTCAGTCCTCAGGGACAAGACGACGGTCGCTGGCACGGGAACTGGCCAGTGACAAGCGTGCAAAACCCGGTGTACTGCCCCCAGCTCCCGAAGACGACGTCGCTAAGTCATGTTAGGCTCGCGGGACTGGAACACACACAGCTGGAACACACAGTGTCATACACGAGTAAGATGTTGGGGGCCGATGGTGAACTTCTAGCGACAACGCCAGGGCACTTGGTTACCTAGGCCCGATCTTCTACTTTCCACCTGCTTCGGGATGAAGACCGCTATTCTCGGAAGGGGCTCCTTTCGCTAAAATACGGGCCTTAACACGGCTTCTCCACGTTTTCCTGAGCAAATCAAAATACAGTCTATAGAACTTACTTACAAATGAACCCTACCTTTTAATCCTCTAAGACTACATTAAAGATGTAAATAATGGACTGCATAGTTTGTAATCTGAAAGACACACACACTCTTCGTTTTTTTACAGCAAAAATAACTCGTTTTGAAGACGTCCCCCCCGACCCCAGACTACAGTCATTTACTTGTTTTATTTTGTCTAAATCAAACATTTGATTCCCTGCTTTAAAGTCCTAATCAAGAACAAATGTATAAATGTCTAAAGGGCGTTCACAAGAAAAAAGTTTTTAAATTTCAAACACCTTAACTAAATGCAGGCTGTCAACTATGCATCAAAGTGAATACATTAAGTACAGTTACATCCAACACCCATTTATCTTTAATCCAGTAGAGGCGGTAAGATAAGCAGAATGAAGGGTAAGACCCTCTAATATTCTAAACTAAGGTCAACATAAAATAAAATGTAAATTAACAAAATAATTCAGGTCAGTGCTCAAGTTCCAGAAGAGTCCCACACTTACCCAGAGCTTTGCAGGCAAACATGCCCATGGCACTTTGCAGTCTGTCTGGTCTGAGCGCCTGCACCACGAGAACCTTCAAAGAAAGTGCAGGGTAGTTTTAAACAATACAGTTCACACAACAGGTTTAAACAATAATGTTAGTTAATGAAACATGTATTTACTAACATGTCAGCACTGATCAATGTGGCACAATATTTACTTACACAGTCACAGTAAGTATATACAAAGACATATTTTTAACAAGGAAAATATTAACTAAAAGTCCATTTATTTCTTCAAATTTATCATCAGAAGTCAACACGAGCATGTCATTGTCACTGGGTCAGCTATGTCTTCAGTATCCAGGAAGTGGCCACGTGGCAGCTGCCAACGAGGGTATAAAGGTGAGGCACTTTTGATGATCGTAGAGCAGAGGCCCAGAAATCTTGTCTAAAATTTTCAAATCACTGTTTTCATGCTCAAACATGTATACACCCAGGTGTTTAAGTTTTCAAGAAACGTACTTCCTAGCTTCCTTTCCTTTCATCTCAAGCCACACTTGGTACAGGAGCACCGACCAAGGAGATACTAGAAGACACCAGCACCAGCAGCCTGGTGACCGGGGACACCCCTTCCCAGAGAGCCCGCCAGCTCTAAGCCCTGGCCTACCCCAAAGACCAGAACCCTCCAGTAAGTTCAGTGCTCCGTTTGATACAAAACGGGAGAGGAGGGCCTGGGCCTCACGAGGCGGTGTTTCCCACGGACAGAACCCGGGAAATGAGAGAAGAAGCCGCACACTCTAACTTTAATGTCTTCCTGTGAGACTCTCTCTCTCCTGAAAAATCACCCTTTGGGCTACAGCACACGGAGACACCCAGGCACGCCTGCCAGTGACCACACCGTCTGGGCCCACGGCAAAAGCAGAAAGCCCTTCCCCACATTGACATCACATGACATCCAAAGGCAGAACTTTCATTTAAGTGACTTCTGGACAAGAGAAGTATCAGATATTTTTACGCATTTAGAGAACTTACCTGCTGAAATAAGGAAACTTTCTTTGCAAGAATAGACGGAAACTCTTGCTCACACATTGAAGTGTGACAGTAAGTACGCCACAGCGCTTCATCGTCAAAGCAGAGGGTCTGATAAAGACTAGGGAGAGTAATCTACAACACAAAAATAACCCTACACGGTGAGCTACAAGCAAACGTGAGTCTGTGTGTATATATATGTATTACTAAAAAGGTAAATGGAAACTAATTATTGATAAATGCTTATCAGTTGTTTTCCCCTTTATATTGGCTTATCTAATTATTTCTAGATCAGAAATAGTATGGTTAGGGTCGCCGGGGTGGCTCAGTCGGTTAGGCGTCTGACTTCAGCTCAGGTCATGATCTCACAGTTCGTGCGTTGGAGCCCCACATTGGGCTCTGCGCTGACAGCTCGGAGCCTGGAGCCTGCTCCAGATGCTGCGTCTCCCTTTCTCTCTGCCCCTCCCTCGCTCACGCTCTTTCTCTCTCTCTCTCTCAAAACTAAATAAACATTTAAAAAAATAGTATGGTTAGACTTATCCAATCCAGAATTAGATAAAATTCGACATTTCCAAAGTAGTATCAGCTCAATATTTGCAAGTTAACAAATCTTTTCTTGACATAAAAACATTTGTACTTATCTCCACCTTGTGGAGAAAGGAATCCTTTGTTAAAAACCAGTACATTTTTTACTGAGTCCTGACGGACATGTCCACGGGCACGTTAAGCACCACAACAGAGTTCTACAAGAGATTATAAAAATATGCTGAATTTCACATCAACATCAAATCCTGAATAGAACATGGCTTTTCTAAACCACATTCATTTATGCTGCACTCATGAGCACGTTGCTTCCTTTGCCTCTAGATGTTCTAAATTTCTACTTATTAATGTCTACACAAGAGTCCTCATAAATTTCTACTGTGCGTTCAATATTCTCCTTAAACAATTATCATCTCTCAGGGATGTTCTTCAACATATTCATTTCCTTCTACCTCAAATAGTATTCTCTCTTCCAAACTTTGTTTTTAATCTTTTTCAGCCTTCTTTGTGGTATAATTGACGAAATAGTACCTATTTGAGTGCTCTGATAAGCATTTACTTACACTGCAATAATTACCACAATGAAACAAATTCACATTAACTCAAAAGTTACCATTTTTTGTAATAAGAACACTCAAAATCCACTCTTAGTAAATTTAAAATATACAATACGGTACTGTTACATAGAGCCACCATGTTACATTAGATTCTCTAGAACTTACTCACCTTATAGTCAAACATTTGTACCCAATGTCCAACTTCTCTCCCCATTTCACACAACCCCCAGCTCCATTCTGTCGAATGGCAGCCTCCATTCTCCTCTCAGCTTTACTCAGTTCACCTTTTTATGGATGAATAATATTCTATTACAGAGGGATAGATTGTATTCTCTTTATCCGTTCATCCACTGATAGACATGCAGGCTGTTACAACACAGTAAAACCTTGGTGTGCGAGGAACTTGTTCTGCCAGTGTTCCACAAGATGAGGAAACTTTTCTAATAAATTTTAACTTGATAAATGAGCGATGTCTTGCAATACGAGTAGTATGTGATGCCCAATGTCACAACTGAGCCAATGGTCCGTGAAGTTCGCTTGGATATATAAGCGCTCTGGATTACAAGCAAGTTTCCAGAACAAATTATGCTAACAAACCAAGATTTTACTGTATATCTTGGTTGTTCTAAATAATGCTGCAATAAACATGGGAGTACAGATATCTCAGACACCTATTTCCTTTCCTTTGGATTTACACACAGAAGTAGCAGTGCTGGATCACATGGTAGTTCTATTTTTAATTCTTTTTGAGGAATCTCCACACTGTGTTTCATAATGGCTGCACCATTTTCTATTCTCACCAACAGTGCACGGTTTCCCTTTCCTCCACAACCTGGCCATTGCTGGTTATCTCTTGTCTTTCCAATTATAGCCATCCTAACACTCATGAATTAATAATACCTCATTGTGGTTTTATTTGCATTTCCCTAATGACTAATGACATTGAACACCTTTTTATATACCTGTCGGCCATTTGTGTGTAGACATTTAGAAAAATGTCTATTCAGGTCCTTTGTCCATTAAAAAAAAAATTTTTTTTTTTTTTTTAGTACAGTTGACACACAATGTCACGTTACTTTCAGATAGACAACACAGTGATTCAGCATGTGTAAACTATGCCACGTTCACAACTATGACAACTGTCTGTCACCATACAGCGCTATTACGATACCACTGACCACATTCCCTCTGCTGTGCCTTCTATTCCCGTGACGTATTCATTCCACAACTGGAAGCCTGTACCTCCTTCTCCCCTTCACCCACTTTGCCCATCCCCACCCCTGGCAAGCTCTCTTCCAATTATCAACAGTGGGCTACAAGAACAGAAATGTAAATCTGTAGAGATGGAGGATTTTTATGGAAAATGATGGCAAATTGGGAAGATCTGTATCTGCAGGGCTAGAATGTCACATAAAATAAACATAAACCAAGTACTTAAGGATGTTTCATCCAAAGAGTCGTATTCATATGTAATTAACCCACGATAGTGCCCAAATTTCATCATGTAAGTTAACTAAAATTAAATTTATACAGCATAAAATTAAATACATTTCAATTTAATTATTTTTAATAAGTGATCTAAACCTATTAGGACAACACTTGATGGCGGTCCATTAAATTTAGTTGCAATTAGTGTATAAGGGCCTACTGCTACCAATTTAGGCTACACATTCTATAATCATTATGGATTTGGCCAGGAATTAGAGCCGGCTACACTGCAGTTAGGAAGCCCTCTGGCTTCACATCACCCGGGGTGGAGCTCTGGTTCGGTGCCACCACAGCACAAGTATTTGTCCTACTCTCCATGGTGTAGGTTCACCGAGTGCCATCTCTATGTGTTACGCAACATGTATTTGTCACTCCACTGGCACTATGCTCACCAGTACGGACGCTAAATAAATGATTAATGAAACAATTAGTGATAATAAAGCAGAATCCATTTACTTTATTCAACAAATATTTATGAAGGAAAGGCAAGAAAGAATGGGGATGAAAAGCCCAGACTCTGCATCAAGGAGCCCAACTTCAAATCCTGACTCTACTTTCTAAGTGACCGTAAGCAAGTGATTGCACTGCTCTGTGTCTACTTTGCTCATCTGTTAAACGAGAACAGGATTGTGAGGATGTTGAAAATATCTACCGAGGGGATCTGTTTTCAAATTCTTCAGAATGCTTTCAACAGCGAGTCCCCAATAAATGCAAACTATTCTAACTGTTGGCACCATGTGCCACTGAGACCTTACAAGGGTTGCGAAGAGCAGGGAAGGAAAGGAAGAGCAACGCATGCATATACTTTGAGAGCAGTCTTTCTTTCGTTCCCCACAAAATACCACTGAGGCTGCGTAAACAACATAGGGACTGTCAGGAGGTGGGCTTCCGAGCTGCTGTTTCTTCTGCTCGCCTGCATACTTGGCCCCCACTTCCCACTCCGGAATAGAGAAGCGGGAGGGATGGAGGACGAAGGATGGGAAGTGGGGGGAGACAGAGACAAAGAAACACTGCAGTTGGAAAATTCAGGCATCGACTACGGTGTCAGGTGAATGCCTTGATGGAAATCATAGTGCAAACTTCCCACCTGTCTGTCTGCCTGTCTGTCTTGGGTAAACCGTTAGCCTCTCCACACCTCGCTTTCCTCTCGTCTAGGCTGCTGTGATGATAACATGAGATAATGCGTGTACAGTATTTAATATGATGTTTGGCACGTAACACGCCCTCCAATAGATGTGTGAGATTAAAAAGAAGCCTTAGGTTCCTTCACTGAACTCGCTACTAGTGGTTCTCATTTCTCATCTGTAAAAAGAATTTAATAATACCCGTCTCTCAGGGTTGGTATGATAATCGCATAATTCATGTTGACTCACATGAGAAGTCATACTCATAAGATACTCATAAGATAACTCGTAAGATAATTCATGTACACCTGAAAACAAGATTATGCTCTATGTTAACTAACTGGAATTTAAATAAACACTTAAAAAAAATAAATGAGATAATCCACTTAAAACGTTTTATAAGTGCGGTGCCTGGGTGGCTCAGTCAGTTTAGCGTCCGACTTCAGCTCAGTTAAAGCGCCTGACTTCAGCTAAAACCCATGATCTTACAGTTCATGGGTGCGAGCCCTGCATCGGGCTCTGTGCTGATAGCTCAGAGCCTGGAGCCTGCTTCAGATTCTGTGTGTGTGTGTGTCTCTCTCTCTGCCCCTCCCCTGCTTATACTCTCTGTCTCAAAAATAAACATTAAAATTTTTTAAGTGTTTTGTAAACTAAAATGATAATAAAACATTAATGTGTACTATAACCTTCTCTGAATATGAAAGTTACTTTCCTAAAAGTTTTGGATTCCTTTATTTAAACAGAAATGAGTGGGTTAAAAAAAGAAAAGAAACATCATTACAATTTTTAGTTTAAAAATGTAAGATTTTTTTCCCCCAAATGTGGTAATATTATCTGTACCATGCCGATTATTATTTTCCGTTAGGAGTTCATGTGATAGTTCAGAAATCCTGCTCAATAATCTATAATTCCCTTTAAATTGTCTCTATTTTTCACCATTTGCAGCAACGTGGATGGAAGTGGAAGGTTTTATGGTGAGTGAAATAAGTCAGAGAAGAACAGATATCATGTTTTCACTCATGTGGATCTTGAGAAGCTCAATAGATGAACATGGGGGAGGCGAAGGGAAAAAATAGTTACAAACAGAGAGGGAGGGAGGTAAACCATAAGAGACTCTTAAATACAGAGAAGAGACTGAGGGTTGATGGGGGGGGCGGAGAAGAAAATGGGTGATGGGCACTGAGGAGGGCACCTGTTGGGATGAGCACTGGGTGTCGTATGGAAGCCAATTTGACAATAAATTGTATTCATAAAAAGAATAAAAACATTGTCACTATTTTTCTTTTTTTGCATTCTATTATAATTGTGTCGTAAGTGTTTCCTATACTAGGTGACAAAGTCCCGGGAAGAAGGAACCAAGACTTCTATTTTATTTTATATTTAAGTATTTTGAGAGCATGAGCAGAGACAGAGACTCCCAAGCAGGCTCCGTGCTATCTGTGCAGAGCCCGACGCAGGGCTCAAACTCAAGAAACCTCAAGATCATGACCTGAGCCAAAATCAAGAGTCAGACACAGAAGTGACCGAGCCGCCCCAGCACCCCATCCGAGGCCTTTAGACATCCATGCCCTTCGTTCTCAGTCAGTAGTTCATGCACACTTAATAAACATCTAACCCAGGGAACTACGTGAACAATGCAAAATTTACCTCACCTCTTTCGTCATCAGTTTGTCTACTCATAACCTCACTTTGTTCAACCAAAGAAAGTGTGTAACAGAAACTACGCATTTGGCACATAGTGGGCGCAAGCTGAATAATCAAAGGAAGGCAGGAGTCAGGTTTGGCCTGAATGCTGGGAACAGAAAGTGTAATAAGGCCTGGATCCTAATCTCCACGGACTTACAACCTAGGAGAAGAGGCAGACACACCAAATCGTCTGAATCAGTATGACAGGTGCTATGATACGGCAACGTTCAAGATACACGCTACGAGAAAAGACAGAAGGAAGAAATGAGGCAAAAAGTCACATAGAAAGTAGTGCTTTAGGTACGTCCTAAAATGTTAAATAGACATTTTACAGGTAAAAAAGGTCAGAGGGCATTCCAGGCAGAGGGAGTAACAGGACCAGTAAGTGCAGAAAACGGTGAGAGGATGGACCGGAAATAAAACTGAGGAGGTGGGCAGGGAGCAGATCATGGAGCATCTTATCCTTTATGCAAATGACTGTGGACTCTGCCCTGTGGGTGACAAGAAACCGTTAAGAGGTGTGAACCACCGCGTGCACTGTATCGTAACTACACTTTAAAACCGAAAGGGTATAATAAAATAGGCATGAGAGCAGAAGGGGGGGGCTCCACAGAGAAGCCCAGGTGAGTGGTGGGAGTCACAACTACGAGTGATGGCAAGAATGGAGAAGAGCTGAGGGTGACAGAGATTTCAAAGATGCATAAAAGCAAGAGAAACAGTTTGTATTCGAAACTCGTTTAAGCATCATACTGCATCTCATGACCAATCCCTAATTACTTTACAAATAAGACCTCCATGTACCATATTAGGGGGTCTTCAGTTTACTCCTCTTCATGCTCCCTGTGGGTACGCAGCACAGGACCCTATACAATGGACACGCCAAACGTGTGAGTGCTGAGTGGATGATTTAACTAAGGATTAAAGGACTAATCAGAACAGAATAATTCTCTGATATCCTCTGGCCCAGGGATTTTACGGCAGATTCACAGAAATATCAACACTGAGTATGGATAGAGAGCACGTAAAAATATAAACAGAAATAACTCAGCAGGGAAAGAGTTCTTGAACCCCCAGCATACACGTGACATACCTTTAGTGTTGCTACGGCCCAGCTCCTCTCCTGGTCTATCCACGACGGGAGATGCTCGCGGATTCGCTGCTGAGAGTCCTTCGGTAAGAGCAGTTGTTTTTGTTGGTATATGTGGTAACATTCAGACTTAGAAAAATTAACAATTGAGTAGCTAATTTTATGAATGCTATTTTGAAAAACTTGTTCTGTACATTATTGTAACTTATTTTACAAGTCACCATTATAAAATTCCATATAACAAGGTACAGATAACCACTTACATAATTTTGTACACATTTTGTACACATTCTCATGGTACATAATCTTTTAGAAAACTTAAGGGCATTTAATAAAAAACTGCCATAAATTTACATTATTTTTAACAGTGTCTTGCATTTCAGACATAATCTAGATTTTGCATTACACTTCGGGTATGTTAATTTGGAGACAAATATTATCCCCTGACATGTTCTAATAGAAAATTAGTACAGAAGAAGCTAAACTTGCATGAAGTGATCAAGAATTAAAAAAAAAATTTTTTTTACACTTCCAATTGTATGAGAGTTTTCCTTGTTTTAATACAAAATTCTATTTTCTTAGGATTATAAAAGTGTTCTTGGAATAAAACATATACACTAAGAAACTATATTAGTTCTATAGTGTATATGTACATGTTCTAAACTAATATAGTTTCTTAGTATTTAATTAGTATTATTCTCATAAGAATATATGTCTTTATATAGACTACCCTTTATAGTAAGGGAGTAGAGGCAAGGACACATTCCTCTAATTAAAATATAATTTCAACAGTATTTTAAAATTCTTCTGGAGCAAACAGTATTTCATGAAGGCAAAGCTAGAACTATTTTCCCTAAGAGTGACCTAAGTTTTTTTACTTACAGCTTTCCGCAACATGTCTCCAACAACCACACCTGTAAACGTATCCCATTCCTAACGAATAAAAACAGAAATAATACAAAAAAATAGACAAATACTAACCAGGTCACAGAATTTTCTTAATTTCCCTATAAGACAGCTTATAATACAGCTCTCTAAGGACATGGAAAAAAATAAAACTCATTTCACATCTCCTACTCCTGGTACAACATTACCATCTAGAATCTGTTTGTGTACCAACAACATAAAACATTTGTACAAAAACTGCTACAAACAATTGTACTGAAGGAAGAAGTACACCTACATTGTGTGTGTGTGTGTGTGTGTGTGTATGTGTGTGTGTGTGTGTGTGTGTGTGTGTGTGCGCGTAGGTATATGGGTCTCAACATCTGAAAGTGTACATCACGTTCAATTATCATTTGTCACTACCCATTAATCTGTCCTATTATGGCGAATTTTCACTAATAGAAAAGCGTAAGTTGCAGCAAAAATTTAAAAATTGTCTATGCTGGGGGAAAATAGAGGAAAGTACATCCATTAACTCATCTTTTCCAACGGATTGGGAGAAGGCTGCCATCATTCATTTTTTTTTTTAATTAATCCACAGAATCACAACCAACCCAGTGTGACGTCAGCTAGCCCTCCAAGAAAATCTCCGTCCTCACCCTGAGCCCTTCTCAATCAGATAGTAATAGGCACTAGCATATTATTGTTACTCACTGGTCAGCAAATAAGGAAAAAACTTATTAAGATTTGAGGGCAAAAAGAAAAAAACAAAATTATTTCCTGCCTCCACACTCCGTGACCACTCAATTCTTTCACTGAAAGTATAGTCAATAGGATAGGGATGATTACTATTCCTCTACGTGAGAGAAAAATGTTCTCCTCTCCCAATTCCTATTTATACTCCAAGAGGGAAAACTAGGACAGTAAGTCTTCTCACACAGTGTGGAACATATGATGCCGGTGAAACACGTTATACAGGAGGAAGGAACGGCATCAAATAAAAGGAGTCCAACAAATTCAGGAGAAAGAACACAAGTCCCCAGAGCGTGGGGAACAGTCTGCAGGAAGTAGCCAAATAAGGGGAATCCGGGACATAAACCAAGTCTGACCGAGTGGAGTGAAAGGTTCCGAGGTCACAGGTGCGCTGTCCACACACTGTCCCCGCTCCTCCCCACCCCTGGCCACTGTGCTCTCGCGGACAATAATGGCAGAGTAACAAAAAAATCACCTACGTATAATTTCCTTAAACACGAGCTCACCAGAGATGGATTAGTTATCTCTAACCTGAAGGAGGCTCAAGTTGGAGTGAGTTCCATGGCAGACGAGAAAGAAAGTTACAAAGAAGATAAATTATACATAAAATGATGAACAGAAAGCTTCAGGCTGCGAGAAGCTACTGCAAAGTGCCCACCCTCTTGCTTCACCTGCTGACTCAGAGCAAGTCGGGGAGGGTAATAAATAATGTAGCCGTCTATCCACCCTGTGTCACATTCCTATGTGCCTGCATGAGGACAAGAAGCGGACGTGGCTCAGAAAGGTGAGTGACTCGAGTTTCTTTCTCTGCCTCCCGTCACTTCAGAACGCTGGGCTCATCCAGAGGGGAGGACAAGCAGGAACCAGCGTTTTTAAATGTCTAACTTAGTTAAAACTTCATAGGTTGATACACAATTTCCAGACTAAAGTTATTTCTAATCTAACCATGAACCTTACAAACTCTATGTAACTCTTATATTTTCCTCCTTTGTTTCCACTTACATTTTCTTGAAAAAGTTCCGGATGCATGCCCCGAACGAAGTGCAGCGCGAACATCAACTGGTCAGCCTGAAAAGAATAAGAAATGTTACCGCGCTGTTTCTACATTTGTGTGTTTGGAAAAGCACAGTCCTGACATTTCAGTTCAGTGTTCTATTTTTAAATTGCCCACTTTTATCAATAGAAGAAATGACTAGTGAGATGGTACCTACACAGGGCACTTCTGAGTCAGGGGTGGGAAGGACACAGGAAGTACCCAACATTCTAGACAAAATGCTACAGATGAAGCGTCACGTACATCTCATCAAAAAAGGTTTATTTAACTAGCTGAAACCCAATTGTGAGGTCTGAATTGGTCACTACTAGTAAGATCAACCTCCTGCATTAATAATCTTCAATGTGTCCTGTGTATGTTTACATGATCCAGGACATTCTATATACCCGTGAATCAAAACATTTCAATTCTAGAAATTTATGCAAAGGGATGATAAATGTATTCATAGGATATTTACTGCAAGATTTTTTATTATAGAGGAAAAACTCCAACAACCTAAATGTTCCAAGGTGATCATAAATAATATTCAAATCAAAATATACAGCATAGCCCATATTGTGGAAGGAGGGGCAATATGTTTGTATAATCATATATGGACACATGTCTGCAAAAAGAATTGGAAAAATGACATCACCTTCTATCAGTAATTTATTTTTACAACTACATGTCATTTTTGGTTCCTTCTTTTTTCTGACGTGTATATTATAAATTTTCTAAAGTAAGCTTAGCTCACTTCTGTTAAAAAAAAAATCTACCCAAGCATCTTTCCCACCAGTTTATAATGTAAGCATTTAAAAACAATTTTTTTTAATATTTATTTTTGAGAGAGAGAGAGAGAGAGAGAGAGCGAGCGAGAGAGCAAGCAGGGGAGGGGCAGAGAGAGGGAGACACAGAATCCGAAGCAGGCTCCAGGCTCTGAGCTGTCAGCACAGAGCCGGACGCAGGGCTCGAACCCATGAACCGTGAGATTGTGACCTGAGCCGAAGGTGGGCACTCAACCGACTGAGCCACCCAAGCGCCCCTGTAATGTAAGCATTTTATAAACAGGGTCTCCTGCAGTATAATAATACTTTATATCTAATATGTGTATATGATTGTAAGTCTACAAGTAAGAGATAACTATAAAGACATGAAGATGCGGGGGCGCCTGGCGGCTCCGTCGGTTGTCAGCTGTGCTGGCAGCTCCGAGCCTGGAGCCTGCTTCCGATTCTGTGCCTCCCTCTCTCCCTGCCCCTCACCTGCTCATGCTCCGTCTCTGTCTCAAAAATAAATATTACAAAAAAAATTTAAAGACATGACGATGCAATAATATGCAGAAGATACATTTGTCACAAAAAGATGCTCTTATAAATCCTACCAGCAAGTGACATCCTCACCTGCAAGAGAATCACCCCTCTATTGGAAAGATTCAGTGCCTCGAATCATACAATATAAAAGCACAGTTTATTTCATAAAAGTACGTGCTGTGTATGTATATGCAGCAAGTAGTCAGTAAATACCTGTTAAGTGAATAAATAAAAAGCATGTGTTCACAACCGTAACACAGCTAATGACTTAAAAAAATTTCTCCAAATAGAAAAACTTTGGGCAGATGGCCATCACTCAGATGATGGGAAAAGAGTTAGAGCCAACTAGCGTGTGTAGGAAACAACTACATGTGACTTTAAAAATATAAAAAGCAAGACCTGTCATTTGGGGAGATGTGGAGTGCTCTTAGGTATGACAAAGTAAGAATTCAGTGTGGGGCTGGCTGACTGGGGACTGGCTGGATAAGCCAGCCGCTAAGATGCTTACTTTATAAATTAACGCATGTTTACAATGATTATCACAGCATCCCTCATCGAAGGTAGGTAACGATTAAGATAAAAATAAGACAATACACGTACTACTTTGAAGGCTTTAGCACTTAATAACACACTTAGTTCTCTACTCCAGAGATATACACACACAAATTCACACCCAGTACTACTACCCTTCCCCCGCCACTGCTTCCTCTGACCTGAGGAAGAAGAATGCGGTCTCTGTCTCTAGGGTTAGTACAAAGACGGCAGGGCCCTGGCACTCTAGGGTTCTCAGATCAGGCGCTGGGTTCAGCGAGCTGACTGTTAATTCCATCACTGAGGCCAAACTCCAAAACACTGGCAAAGAATAGCCACATAACACAGAGTCAACAAACGGGTAGTGGCGGTTCCCCTTCTCCCTGTGTTCTGGAGACAGAAGACTTCCAGCCTGAGGGACGAGCACACAATCGTAGCTGAGCCTCTCCCATCGCATCCCCCACAGATAACGGCACGGGAACTACACCAGACTAACCCGGACCTTCATCGCCTTCCCAAAGTGGAGGCGGCAGAAGCCGTTTCTGGCAGCTGGCTGACAGCTATACCAAGGAATCCTTTCAGCCCCAGGGATTTAAGAACAACGTTATAATAAAAAACAATTATGACTCGAGAACACACCTAAAAATACAATTTACTGAGAGACAAGAGGACACATTATTTCCAAATAAGCCGGGGTCAAATTAAGAATGTACAAATCAAGCTTATGGATTTTCTGAATATTTGCTTCAAACAATAACCAAAACAACAACAAAAAAACCCTGTCGTCATCCAGAGTTGAGAAATTACTTTGTACCTCTGACGTCCTTGATCTACACTGCTTTTCAGACCAAAAAATTTCAGTCTTTTATTTACTTATTTCCTGATTTTGAGAAAGAGCGAGCAAGTGAGCAGGTGAGCTGTGGAGAGGAGACAAAGGAGAGAGCGAGCGAGAGACAGAGAGAGAGAGAGAGAGAGAGAGAGAGAGAGAGAGAGAGAGAGAGAATGAAGCCCAACACGGGGTCAGTCCCACAACCCTGGGATCCTGACCTGAGCTGAAATCAAGAGTCAGAAACCAAGGGACTGCACCACCCAGGCGCCCCAATTTAGGTGTTTTAATTCAATGTCAACTCATCTCATTAGGCTTGGTTCTGTTAACAAAATTCTTTAATATCATGGGGATATAAGCAAAATATCAACTGATCATCGACACGAAGAAAAATCAGTAAGAGAAGGCAGAGGACTAGCGAGTATAAATCAGCCACATGGCATCCCATAAATTCCACCCTGGCATCATACACACCCCAGTGAATATGCAGAAAGGGTGAAACTGTTAGCACACGAGTAACACGGTAGAAGGGAGTCTTAAAGCCCACTTTAGGATGAGGTCAAGTGTTTCCAGACAGGATGATTTTGCTTGAACTGCACCCTGTTAGCCTTGAGTCTTCAGGCATCAAGCAGAATGGGCTTAAATCCCAGTTCCAACACCCTCCACACAGGAATAACCTACAGCACGGGTGCTAGCTCTGCATCTTGGTCTCCTCCTTTAGAGAATAGGATTGTGGTAGGAAGTGAGTAACAACGTATGTGAGGTGCTTCCCCGGTGCCTGGAACACGTAAGGTGACACACAGTTGCTACCTGCTTTACAGTCACCTGATGCACTACATACTACTGTACCGGAAAGGAAATTTATCTTAAAAATCTTCTATAAACCTCCTGATTCTCAGAGACTGAGAAGCAGTAGCAAGAATAAGAAATCTATTCCTTTTATTTGTACTCGACACTATTCATCGCTTTCAAACAACTTCAAGGTAATGTGTAAAGTACCTGCTACCATATGAAGTCTTGCTTTAATCTAGCAAATACGTAGATAGCATAGCACCAAGCACAGGCAGGGGCACCTGGGGACTCAGTGGGTTCAGCACCCAACTCTTGATCTTGGCTCAGGTCATGATCTCAGGGTTTGTAAGACTGGGCCCTGTGTTGGCTCTGCACAGCGTGGAGCCTGCCTGGGATTCTGTCTCTGTCTCTCCCTCTCCCTCTCCCTCCCTCCCTTCCTCCCTCTCTCTGTCTCTCTGTCTCTCTGTCTCTCCCTCTCCCTGTCTCTCTCTCTCTCTCTCTCTCCCTCTCCCTGTCTCTCTCTTCTCAAAATAAATAAACTAAAAAAAAAAAAA